CTTAAAATGACACAGAACCTGCACACTTTGACACCACTCCAGCAGCTCCGGCTTTGTGCAATAGGTTTCAGAGCACCTCATTAGGACATGGGGACCTCGCAATTCATTGCGTTTTGTATTTCAAGTCAAATATTTTGTCTATTAGAGTATCTTAGCAGTTGCAAGCCCGATTAGTTCATTGTCAGTTTTACTATCCAGAACTCACAGAAGATAATTATTTGAGGATGGCATTACAAAGCTAGGTATTATTTTGAGATAATGAGAGCATTCAAAATCACAAAGACTTTCAGCAAATCAGGCTGCACTAATTATTCATTTTTGCTTAATTATAAAGGGATATTAGCATTCAGATACATCACTGATTCCACGTCTCAGTTCTATAACAGTTCCTTGTTGGAAGAAACAGAAAAAGATCTTTTGGCACCTACTGTCTGTCTTTGTAGAGGGTCACAAACTTAGATTCCTAGATTTTTAAGGTCAGAACAGATTGCTAGGTCATCTACTTCATCATCTAGAATACTACGAGCCACAAAGAAAGATACATGGCTGTACAATTAATAGGTATTTATAAAACTAATTGCAGTTACTTCACATCAGATGCCTACATGCAAGAACCATAGTGGTTCTTACAAGGATGGGAGCTTTTTTTTTTTTTTTTTTTGCTGCAAAGGCATAACAAGATTCAATGGTGAGAAGTTGTAACTGGACAAATTCAGCCTCCAAATAAGATGCAACTTGGTAAGTGCAATCTGTTGTTGGGCCACACGTTCTTACAGATTTGCCTTCCCTCAGAGCACTAGAGGTTGGCAGGTCTGGACATTGCAAAGGGCCAGGGGATGGTGAAGAAAGAATTTTGCCTTAAGTCAGCTAAGCAGGATTACCTTGCCTTCTTCTGCAGCTCATCTTCTGCGATCTCCTAAGGAGTTTTCACATAACTGGCAGTTTATGCATTGCACAGCGCTCCAGTGCCAAGTTGGTTCTCTTAATCTAACGTCTCTGGCCTTAACATAGGCGTACCTGGGTAGAACTCTATGGCTCTGAAGCTGGACTAAATCTGATCCTTCATCATTCATTCTGGCCTTAAAATCTGTGGAACTACCCACAACACAGGAAAACCAAAAGCAAGCAAAAAGACCCAACACAAGCCGAACAAAAGCAGCTGCTGGAGTCTAAACAAGCTAAAATGCCTGTAAGCAGCTGAGTTCAGGGACATTTGGTCAATACAGAACATAAGGACGTGCTGCCGCAAGCAGTGGTTTTCCTGGAATTTTTGATTGCCATGACAAAAAAACATTAAAACACCAGTTACATTGCGCTAGACAATCCACTGCTGGTGGTGATATATGTACTGCTAAACTGGGGCAAATGTTAGGTGTTTGCATGCTTGTCTGAATTTTGCCTATGGCCAATTACCATAGCTAATACGCAGTAATTTGCTCACATGCGTAAGTTAATTTAACTTTTTTTTTTTTGTCTCAGAATAACAGACTTAGGACTGTTTTTCCATCACTGACAAGAGCGTATCTGAATATTTGTGTCTGGAAAGTCAGGTGTATCAGTTATCAGATCTCCTGCATGGTAGTGGGGAGACGAAAAGAAAGATGATGACTGCCGTTTCTCCATCTGCAAGTTACGCTACTAAACAAAGACAGAACCTAGAAAGTTCATATTTTCAAGCGTTTACCACAAAGCCTAAATATTACAGCTCTTTCCTCCTGCTTTCTCAGAACTGGGGCATAATCAGATAAGGAGAAGTCTGCGAATTTACATGGTCAGGAGTTTTTCACAGACAGTGGAGTTTTCCACCGCGCTGGTAGCCAACAAGGCTGCAGGGGAAACACATGGCTGGCATTCAACGCTGCCTCAGCGCACCCAGAGCGAGTGCAGCTCTAACAGGGAGCAGGCCCCTGGTGCCATGCAGCGCACGCGGCCTTCGGTGCATGTCAGGCACACAAATCTCACCAGCGTGGTTCCGCACCAGGCTGGGGAGCTGGCCTCGGTGATTCATCACAGTTAACAAACAGAAGATTAATTTATCACACTCCTGGTCTACATAAGAAACCTCGCTGTCTGTCATGACAGAGGGAAGTAAAGACAACTTGGCAGAAAGAGAACAGAAAAGTATAAAAAAAGATAATATGGAGGACCAATCAATTAAGATGCAGAGTGTATAGTGTTGCACATATTGCAGAGACAGCAGCTACACCATCTCTCCAACGATGAGGCATGACAGGAAGTTTAATCAGAAGAGGAAGGGGTTAGGATCTCTGGTGAGATCTCTCTTTTCTTTTTGGAATTCATTAATAGTCCAATATTTTTGTCTCCCTCATCCTCACACTTCAAAAAGTTCACACATTGCCTTAATCGTTGCTGCTTCTCAACATGCCCCGGCCAAGCATCAAACATTTCTTGTCTGTACTTTGTGCTGTCCCTCTGCCCTCCTCTTCCCGAGCGGAGGACCGAGCATGCCACACAGGGATTTAGGGATGTTTTGGGTTTGTTTTCAGACAAGACTAAGCTGAAAACGTGCAGATACACTGGAGCATGTGTCTGGACGGTGTTTGCAGCAGTCCACTGCTGCGCTGCCAGCGCTCCCACTCACCAGCCTGCAGCAGACACTCATGAACATCGTTTCCTAACCCGCAGCACATTCATGGCACCAGGCAGTTCTTCTGTGCCTGCAAGATGGGATTGCTGGCCAAATGATTCAAATCTCTCATTTTGGGCTATGAGCTGTTTGGCTTAGGCCACCAAATGCTGTGAGAAGCTCAAGGACCTTAAAATGTGACTTAATGTTTTCACAGGTGTCCAGGGCAGAGAAGACCTGTGACGTCCTTACAGACACTTGCGTTGCTGAAGACTTTTTCTGTACTGATATCCTCACACGTGGACATGTAGCGGCACTGCAGTTAGCAGGCAAGTGATTATTCAGATAATATCTAGCATCATCAGACCACTCGGACACAACAGTGTTACAACAGAAGATGGCTAACATCCACCAGAAAAAAATAATCCTGCTAGGAATTTACTTCCAGGCATCAGATTTTAAGAAGAGGATATAGTGCTTGCGATTTTGGACACCAAAAATTACTCTCAACTGTTTTACTCCTGTCCTAAGGAAAGTTAACTCAGGACTTAGGCAAGTTGAAAAGTGACATGAGTATCTGTTCGTAAGAACAGAATTCCTCTTAGCTGTCTCAAAAATTTCTGAGAGTCCTGAATTAAAAAATAAACAAAAAAACCCTCAAACCAAAACCACCCTCGCAAACAAATGAAAAAACCCAGAACATAACTTCAGCACCAGACATACGTTACCCACTTTCATTAAATTAAACCTTCCAGGAAGATTTTTGTTTTCACTTTAGTTTTATCCTTCTGAGCGGAAACTCCAGCTTGCTGGTTGCCCAGCTGCTTCAGCTTTATTACGGGTTTTGCTGTCCCCTGGGCACCTGTGGCCACACAGGGCTGAAGACACATCCGTGAGCGCTGGAGCTTGATGCAACGGGCACCGAGGCCATGGGGGCTGCAGGTACCTCTCCTCGAGACCAGCCCCAGCACGGGCAGGAGAGGGGCAGCGAGGAGAGCTGCACACCCCTCTCCTTTTAGCAATCCCTAACGATAATAAGGTGCGTGTAGGGATGATACGTGAGGCACCCTGATTGTCCTTAAGGGTACTTCTGTAAGGGTAAGTTAGACTGCGAGTGCTGGCACACGGCCTTCCAGCTTTGTTAGTCCAATCCTGTCGTGGGCTGTGATAATTATCACTATCTCATCAGTGCTTGTGGGGAGCTTGAGGATGCAGAGCAGTTCCCAACAGGCAGCACAGATGAAGACATGCTCTTCTGGGGGGAGGAGAGCGTTGCGAGGATAGCTATGCCAGGGGCTCCGAAAATGTTCCCTGGCTGGATTTCTTCACTGGCACAGAAAAACCTAAGGGACTGTCTTGCAGCAGCTGGAGGTAGATCAGCCACGGGCAACCTGTACTGCAGGGAGCAGCAGCACTCATTTGCAGTTTTCAGGGGAAAGCAGGCACAGCGGGAAACACGGAGCTTTACAACTGTGCACAAAGATGGATGCAATTGCAGAAGCATTAGCATAAGACAAATGCATTTGCACCTACAAAGTGAGCCAATTCCAGTGGTAAAAGTCTGTCAAAAATTTATGTGCAAAATTGCGAACAATTAGAAGAGAAACCTGCTTTTGAAATTGTAGCCTGGGCCCTACTTCTAAAGAGCCTTTCATCTCTCCTCTGTCTCTGAATTCAGATTCTCTCCACATTTGAGATCATCTGTCTCCCTGTTTAATAGCAGTCTAATTATGATTATTTATTAATATTTTATAAGGATGATCAGGCCTTTCCCTTATCCTGTGTGTGAAGATAAGACGCAGTGATTTACAAGCCCTCCCTTTTCCTTCAACCAGACCAACAGCCCCATCACAAGGCATCAAGATGTTAAGGAATGGTCAAGGAAAAGCTTTACGGTAGTATTTTTTACAAAATGAATTCCAGAAAGGTCTCTTAAAGAAACACATTCACTACCAATGACAAGGATAGTGATTCATAAGCCATAAAGCCTTGTGAAGGCAAAGACCACACATGACAACTTTTCCATGTGTCAGGCAGCTCCCATTTTTCACTGTGTCAGTTTTCTAATGTGGATTCCAATAATGAAGAAAGCATTTCCTTAGGGGAGAAAACTTATCAAGATGCCGAGCTTTTCTCCCAGTGACCAATTGCATGTCATGAAAACCAAGGTCCGATGCCAGCCGAGGACAGGAGCAGCTGGACAGGTATGGAAACCTCGCTGCTCGGCAAGGTCCCAGACAATTTTTACTCACCTCTAGTGTAGTCAATACAATCTTCTCAACTGAAGAAAAATAAGCCTCCCACAAGAACTGTGTCTGCTGTCTAAGTGCTAGGATTTTATCCTGATGGATAGACCTGATTGTAGAAGGAATCTGTAATACAAGATGTAATATAGTCAGAAGCTTCAGAAAACAACGCAATCTCATCAAATTAATATGCTGCTGACAAGCCCTCTCCTCTATTAGCAAGCCTCACAGCTTCAACTCTCCTGTCCGACAGAGATGCGTGTGTCAACAGTTAAAGCCTTGATGCAAAACGAATGAGACACAACCCTTTACAACCTTTGGTCCTGAATATATGATTTTTTTTTTTATCTGCTTTCTTTCAGTTTTCAGTTATTTTATTGTAACAAAAGCTCCTTCTCCCCAGCGCTGTGGCGTGGCACAGTAAGGAGCTCCTCCATACATCCCTCGTGCACAAAGCTTTTCATGGACTAGTATTTTGACAAACTAGTACCTGCAGGTCTTGAGAATCCAACAATAATCCCCACTCTCAAAGTATATTAAAGGGATCTGGAATTACATTTAATGCAGCATGGCAACACTAAGTGCCCTAAGGAAAACATAGCAACATCTTAAGTAAGACTCTACTTTTTGGGAGCCTGTGGATCAAATTGCATTTTACTAATTACTGTGGGTGGAAAGAATAACGTCTCCCACACCACCTGTTATTCACAAAGGAAAACACTGCTTCTTTTTTCCCCTCTCCATTAAATCAACATGTTAATTCTAGTGTAAGTTGCCTTACAAATAAACCCCAAATTGTCCTGCTGCAATGCTTTGCCATTAAAAAAGTAACTGCTCGCTGGATCAGAAGGAGGGGGCTTCACTTCTACGTCTTTTCCCACCCCCAAGTCCCTCTTCCACACTGGAGGGAAACTAATGTACCCATGTGTCATTCTTTAACTTAGGACCTTGACAGAGGCCTCCAGTACACCACTTTGACACTGCAAATTGGCATTATCGAGGGAATTTAACTGCAATTTGCTTCAATTACAAGGCCGACTCATAGCATCAGAAAGACATCTAGGATACGCTGCTGATTTATGCTCATTTTTTCTAGGAATGAAGAGTTGTGCTTTTGCGCTTACTTTTTTGTGATTTCAAATTAGGCCACCTTGTTCTCAGACACTCGTTTCTCATAAATCTTTTACCTAAGTCGTCAGTTGTAAAAGCATATATCTGGGCTGTGTGTTGCTTTTTGCACATCCCAGCTCATTCTGAAGTTTACCTGCCCCCCACCACATCCTGCCCTTTCCTGACCAGAACACACTTTGCTTATTCCTAAAATATTGAGAGGTGGCAGTGATCCTTATTTGCTTTCACACACTCCTGAATCAAATTATTTCACATGAAACATTTTCCTGAAGAAAATTTGAGATTTTAAGAATTTATACGTAAAAAATTTCCACAAGGATCAGTAAATTTTTTACTGCATTGTTTGCATTGTTTGCATCCAGGTCTGGACACTGTGTCCAACAGGACCATGGCTCCACAGGGTGCCGTGTCAGATGGGACAATCCCTGCTCTCTAAGACCTTCATCGCTTAGACCTTCATCACACTGCTAACTATAACACAGAATTTGAGCTTGTAAGAGAGTTAGCACTACAGCAAGGTGGAAGAGAAGAAAATGGCCAGACTGTCGAAGATGGTACTTTCCGTTCCTTTGCTATAGGCCCTTTAGGTAAAATATAGGCCTTTACGTAAAATATTCCCTGCAAATGTAGTGTGAAAGACAGATGCTAAAAACACATGTTAGTACGTGTTTTTCTAACTGATCACATCATTATTTCAGAATGGTAAATAACTGCACCAAATTCATTTTTGAGGTGAATATTCTTTCTTTTCATTACTTTTCCAATAAGTTCCAATAAGCAGAGGGATAATGAACATTACCTGTACTGGCTGTATGCGGATGTGTATTAATCAGACCTGGGATCATTATCAACAGCAAACACATGATCAAAGTCACTTCACAGTGGTGATAGGGCATTTTTTCTATGAACTCATTCATTTCATTGCATTATGTGCAACCTTGCGTGTGTGTGCATATGTGTGTGAGCAAGAAATAAAATCAATACTCATTCCCAGCTACGCCTTTTGGAAGGGAAGGCTGCTCTGACTGTGAAGGTTACTGCAAGAAGTTATGATTTTGCAGACCGCACCATGCTTGCGAGTGCCTGCAAACGCAGTGCCAAGGTTAAAAAAAAGCCTTGGTGCCTGCTCCGTTACAATAGCTGCAAAGAAAAATCAGAGCTCCCATTTCAACTGTATTTGCCTATTAGTTATTAATCTACTTGTCCAGAAAGACAAGTGGGGAAAATCATGTATTAATACTAATGTGGCAGGATTACACTGGAATTATTAGAACGGGATGACATCTTAATAAAAGGTCATTTCAGTAATAAGTAGGGGGAAGGGGAAAACCACCCTGCACAAATAAATGCAGAAAGGCTGGATTAAGCTCTCCCAGCGTTGTGATGAGGAGAATATGCAAATAAAAACATCCGAGCTGCTCTCAAACAGGAAATGAAAAACTGTAACATAACAAAAACATTTCCCAGAGCAGACATTCAGGCCCTCTGCCAGCTCTTTAAAAACACTGTTAATAACGGTGCAGTAGCTGTTCAATATGGAAGCAGCTGTGAAGAGAACAAATGGCATGTTACCGGAAAGCATGAAGATCAGCAAATTATTGTTATTTAAAGAGAGAAATAATTTTGCTCAGAAAAATGTGCTGTCCACAGAAGCAAAAATCAAATGGGCCTTTTATATTTGCAGCTTGTATCACATTAAGGAGAATAGACAGCACTTTGCAAGGCTTGCTAGGCCAGCTCTTCACAAATATTTACTTCTTCAGACAAGTAAATAGGCATCTAATGAGATTTTCAAAGGTACTTCATTTTTGGGGTGCCAAGACACCTGTACCTTTGAAGGCTTCTCTCTGTGGATGACAGCAGCTTGCCACTTTGGAAATGAGTTAAATTCAACCACAAAAAAACCCCCAAACCTCTTAGTGGCTACTTAGGGGCTATTCCAGACCTCATGGATCTCAGCTTCATGCTGGGCAATGGCATTTTATCAAACGCTTCTTTGGGGAATCCAAATTTTCAACAACTTTTCCTAACATCAACTTCTCCACATATTTTACAGAATGTATGTAGGCTACAAAACCCACTAGGGAAACAGAAAAAAAAAAAATCTAGGGAATTTAAAACCAAAGTAGATGCTGAAGGTAGCAGGGAATTTCTAACTTCTCAGCCCTCTTTTGTTCCACGATCTCAAGGAGATTAACAATAAGTGACATGAACACTGCTTCAGAAAGCAGTGTTACATGGTCCAGACATCAGAAAAGGGACATATTCTGCTTCCCACAAAACTGTTAGGTGGTAACTCCTGCCTGAGAAAATACCTGCTTTCCTGAGGCGTCCCTTCAGTATTTGCCAGCCAGACACGGAGCGCTGGTGGGACCCCTGAGGATCATAGAATCATAGAATCATAGAATCATCTAGGTTGGAAAAGACCTTTAAGATCATCCAGTCCAACCATTAACCTACACTACCAAGCCCACTCTAGACTAATCAAGGGTAGACCAGACTAAACCATATCCCGAAGTGCCACATCTACCCGTTTTTTAAACGCCTCCAGGGATGGTGACTCCACCACCTCTCTGGGCAGCCTGTTCCAATGCCTGACCACCCTTTCCGTAAAGAAATTTTTCCTAATTTCCAGTCTAAACCTCCCCTGGCGCAGCTTAAGCCCATTTCCTCTTGTCCTATCGCTAGCTACTTGGGAGAAGAGACCAACACCCACCTCACTACAACCTCCTCTCAGGTAGTTGTAGAGAGCGATAAGGTCTCCCCTCAGCCTCCTCTTTTCCAGGCTAAACAACCCCAGATAGGATAAACAATTTCCAAAGGACTAGAGCAGAACCTGCCTTCAGATGTTTTCCCTCTCCTCAGAGCACCCTGTCCAGGAGAGCTCTGCCTCAGACAGGCATCCAGGTGCTCCACACCAGAAGAAATTTCATGCTCTTAGGAAAAATAAGTCTCCTGCATTTAAGAACGTGGCCTGGCGGCTGCAATGACCTTCAGGTCAAAAAATGAATGATGTCATATTAAATGAGTTCATAGCCAGTGTGACACAGACAATCCCTTCATGATAAAAATTCTTTTACAGCCCTGACCTTTTGGATTCATCTTCCCCGTCCATTTAGATGGCGGCAGCAATAATCAACTGATCCGCTGAAGGCCGCGGTCTTTTTCTTACCTGTAATAACAATCTCTCATCGCCTATGACGGCAGCTTGGTTCCAATCAATCACTTCCGAGAACGGCAACTCCCATCCGTTGCTGAGCATAACCGGGACGCAGGCAGCCTGCACGCACACAGAGGCATGGCAGCTGTTAGCAGGTACCCCACCCCAGGGCAAGCTTTCAGGTTCGCGCCCACACCATTGCTGCCATTGCCTGCGCAAGCTCTGAGCCAGCTCACGGGAAGGTGGTCAGGAGGAGAGGCAACGTGGCAAGGAACACCAGAAGCTAGAGGCCACAGGAGGGCAGCCCAAATTTTTCCGGTTTTCCATTTGGCGCTTATTCATATTCACTGAGTGGCGGGGTTTGCCTGGAGAGTGGCATTTGAAACCTGGTGCTTACACTGCCAGACGAGGTCAGAACTGTTAAAATCCTGCAGATGTAACACCGGAGAATTTAATACAAAACGATGGCCTCCCTCGCTGCTTTGTGAACCATTCAGCAGAGAGCTAACTCCCCCAATTTTTATATGTTGCACGACAACCCTACAGAAAATATAGATCATATTTAATTCCAGAGCACTTTTTCCACAAAGGATGAGTGAATTCCCTATCCCTATCAACTCTCCAAACAGAGGCAACTGCACAAACACAACTCATCTGTCATCACCTGTCTACTAAAATAAGAATTGCTTTGTCTTAAAACAAACAAAAAGCATACACGTTTAGTATCTATTTCGTACCAGTATGATCTACCTAAATGATTTAATTTTTTACGAGTTGCGCAAGTTCCTCTGCACAGACAGCAAGTTTGCGAATATTCAGTAAATAGGGCTGTGTTTCCATAAATGATCGCCACTACGTTCTGCTCAGCCAGATGACAACATAAGATCCAAACCAAAAGCCTCCTGATGGGATGCAAGAACCTATTACCAGAGGATCTGCATCGAGCCTGCGCTCTGGTTTAGCTTCTTTTGGATCAAGCCAAGCTTAAGTGCTCTAAATTTGGTCCCGACTGGGGTCAAGTCGCTCCTGTACCTCCCAAAAGATGGTGTAAAGGGGAACCTTTCAGACTGCTGTGCCTTCCCTGGTAACATGTATTACACACAGGATCTTAGACTGGTCAAGTCTCTGCATTACAGCAGTGCTTATAACATGTAAAGAACTGTGATCTTCTGTAAGGAAATTATATTAGTGCATGAAAAAAGCCAACCAGAAAACACTTAGCAATGTGTTTTCATGTTTAAAACATTCCACTAATGTGGATTACATCTTTCAACGTGCCCTGGAGCCAGACAGAAATTGGGAATTCATCACAGTCGGTGAATACTGCTGCTAGCCTGCTAGGAAAATCCTCAGTGCCTGCATTTTATCATCATCAACCTGGAGCCTCCAAGTTCTGTACAGTGACGTACGCTCCCTGCTTTCTTCTCCTGAGATGATGCACCTAACAGAGGCTGCAAGACTTGTGGCCCAGAGGAGAGAAGAGCTGAGCAGTGCTCTTCAGGAGGATCTGAAACAACTCGTCAATCCAAATAAGCCAGTCCCACTTCTTCCTCCGAAGCGGCTGGAGAGGGAACAGCACTTTGCAGGCTATTAATCTTCTCCTGAGTAGGAGCAAAGAGGTAAGTGACAGTCCAGAACTTGGATCTCAAATGTGACAGTAGGTGTGGGGTTCAGTGGTTAAACCTAAGTGTCCAGTGCATTTGGGATGCTCTAGGGTATCCAAGAAACCTATCTAAGGCTGGCAGACATGAACAGGATCTGCTGGAGACCTTCTGGAGAAGCAGCAGAAAGCCAGGAGGGCACCTCTCGGCTTCTAAAATTACACTATACACCTACACTTAGGTACCTGAATCCTCCTCTGCACTGCAGTCAACAATACTCTTTAATAGCGGCTGGGATGTTTTGTGGTTGGTGATGAAAAGTGATGTGATGCTATTCATTAACAGCTTTACTGCCAATGCTGGGATACTTCCCAAATGGCAAAAGGACACCCCAAGGCAGGACCCTGTAAGGTGTCCTCATTTGCCATCTCACTGACACCAAGAAGTGCCTCGGCCTCCCCTTCCCTCCTCTCCAGCCCCCACGGAAATCCAGATGCCAGTCCTAGAGGGGAGCTGCAGCATCTCCCAAGATGCTCTGTGTGGCTGACTGAAGATCCAGGACCCCAGGGCTGAGCTGATGCTTGCCAAAAGAAAGGTCACGCCGGCTGCAGCCAGAGTAGGTCAGTGTCAGGCCTGATCGCTGTGCTGCCAAGCCCCGCTGCCACACTGACGCAGGAGCCCCTTTGCATTGCCCTCTGCTGCTGGCCAGCAGCAAAAAAGAGAGACCATTAACCAAAATGTTTTTAAAAGGTGAAGGGGATTCAGGTGCTGTCCCACACACTGTGAGCTTCCTGAGATCAGCCTGTATCCACCTTCATGTGAAGCTTCCATCTGGGGCTTTACAACCTCCAGGCCACCTTCTGCACGTTCAGCAAGCACCATCTCAAGACAGGCAATGCATAAGCAGGTCTGTTTTGGCTAAGTGAAAACAAAAAGCTATTTTTACTGCCCCAGGGCTTACTTGTAGAGGCCAGTGTCTCCCATGGGAAGTCTCACAGCCTGATAAAATCCTGCTCTAAACTGGTCCAACCTCTCAGCCTCACCACATCCAGGGAAACCCTTTTCCTGGAGGTAACGCAATTCAACCTTCACATGAGCTCAGTGCTTGGCCCCTCCTGGGAAGAAGCTGCCAATTGCTCCAGAAGTATGAATAGAGGCTTTTGCAAAGTGGATTACTGTCCACTAGGGAAATGAAACACGTTTCCCTCCTCCCCACCTGCTTGCTATTGCACGCTGAATTGCAGCCAGCGTTGCCGATGCTTTAAACTGCAGTTCTTACCTGCAAGGCTTCCAGAAACCTGAAAGAGCCAAGCCTGCGGCCACGGGGAACCAGACAGAAAGTGGCATTGTGCAGCATTTCACGGTAATCATACCTAACAAGAACAGGGGAGAAAAGAGAAAATTCAATTAGCGGTGAGTCCTAGAGTAACTGGGCGTGAAAATGCAAACAGCTGTTGAGACACATCTGGATAAAATCATCCCTGACCAGGACCGCTCACCACCAGGTTAACTAGCTCCCTCCGTGCACGCATGTGTCAGCCGTCTATCCGGCTCCCTTTTGTTCATCCTCAGGAGCAATCACCATGGGAAAGAGCGGAAAAGAGTGGCAATGAAACTGAGAAGGAAGAAAATCATTTTGCCTTTGCAATAACCAGCCATTTCTGTATAAACAGGCGTGCATGTGTTCTGACAACAAACATTAAATATTTTGATACCCAAAGCATTGTTGCGGCACCTATTCAGCTTTAGTCGAAGTCATGCACAACTGTGTTCATTTCTGCGCAAGAGGTTTGTACAAAGCAAAAAATATTCCAACTATGCCAAAGAAATCTTTCCTTATCAAGCAGGCACTAAAAAACAGGGCGGGGGGTTACAATGACTCACTTGGTGGTTATTGTCAAGTGTGGTGAGAGGGATAAACTGCCAAATTTTGGCAATTAACCACATAGTTGCAATGACCCCGCTCCTCTGATTTAAAATTTTAAGTGCTTATAGACACTTCTGGGTTTTTTCCGATTCCATCAATCACCTCGAAACCGTTCACCAAAAACACACATCAAATCCTAACAGTTTCCAGCCCATTATTAGCTAATTGTACTTCTGGCAAACCCATGGAACTGTGCGTGGCATCGACCTCATCTGAGACAAAAGGATCCAGATTAAACACCCTCCGTTCTCCTGAGTGTCCTGGACCCTGCAGAAAGACGTTATTTTGACAGCAACTTGTGGCACTGAAATTTTCTAACATTAATACTCAAATTTAACTGTAGCCTGCAGGCAGAGCAATTTTTTTGTATGCATGTATGTGTATGTATATACATATGATTATATTTTATATATAAAAAAGTCCGGATCTACATTTGTATTCTCACACAGGCCAGACAGATGGGAGTAAGCCAATTTTCAATCATAAGCACTGTCTTTAGGAAGAGACATCTTGCAAAGGCCCATTTGCTTAAACAAGCGTGTATAGCTAATTTGCACAAGAAAAGGTCACTGTGAATGGATTATCTCCACGGAGAGTAAAATAAAAACCCTCGTTGCATTAATTAAAACTACAAAACAGACTTCAAAGTACTTTTTTTTTTTTTTAAATTGTATCTCAACTTTGGTTAAAATACATATATACATATTCCATTTGAGTGGCAGCAATTTCTTTTTCTCCGTGTGGGATATTGATTGGCAGCCATGTCCCAACTCACCAGCTAGCAGTGACACAGCACTCAGGGGGAAAATATAGGAAACTGGAATACCAAAAAAATAAAAAAACTTGCCATTTTTAAGCATTCCTTTTTTAAATACTGAGAGGTCTGAGGCTCATCACCTTCACTGTATACTGTATGACAGAAAATGTTAATAAATACCAAAAATAGAATACCCCGCAGGGCTAGAATACGCCAGTCAGACGTCCCCCATCATTAGCTAGCTAAAAATGTAAAATCCTGTTAATACCCTGGAATGCAACAATACCCACAAAACGTCGATGGCAGAACCAGAACACAAAGAAAAGCAGAGAACGAGGCCAGTGCAAGTGAGCCCTCCATATGCCAGTGACGTCTTATATTGGGCACCTTTTCATTCATACCTCATTTGCTGATACTAGGATAGATTTACAAAGGAAAAAAAAAAAGAGAAGGATTTTGTTGACCATTTCCCACCTGGAAACCAGTTAGTGTCTTGCTCCCATTTGTGCGTTTTAAAGCCTATCGTGTGATTTATTGCTGAGCTCTGGAATAGCACGGTTCATGGTCATCAAGCAATTTATCTACATCATATGTACACATAGAGCCTCATCCTAACCTTGATGTATGGGCACAAAATTTCCACTCACTTCAGGGAGAAGCCGCAAATACAACAGGAGCAGACCCAGAATAAAGCAATATCCATCGAGAGCTGCTGCAGTGAATGAATTGCATGGGAGATTCTTCTCATGAACAAATTTCTTTGCAATTTCAACCCAAATGTTTTAAGGTGATTCAACACGATCTTTGAGCGCAGTGCTAAGGGACTGATTTCCAGTTTAATCCCCCTCAGTGACCACTCCAGGATCAAGCATCTATCTGAAATCCCTAAACACAAGGTGCCGATTTTACTCCTACTAGTTCATGGATAGCACGCAAAGCAACAGGGGCACCCTGCCTTAGCTGAAAGACAGAAGACAGCCGAATACGTTCAAACATGAATTGGAAATGCCTTTCATACAACACATGAAGCCAGCCACAAATACATAAACATCTCTGTCAAGCTGCAAGCATAGCTTTGCAATCTGAAGCACTGTTTGCAGAGGAAATCGTTTAGATGTACCAAATAGTACTTCAGAGTTGAGTCTGCAGCAGAGACCACTTTATGTTTTTCTCAGTGTTTGGAGGAGACCTTGGCCACGAAAATGTCACTGGCTGAATGAAGCTCCAGCCCACAGGCCACGGCGGGGACACAGAAGGCATCAGGGCAACCCTCAGTTTCACACTCCTTCCCATTCAGCCCTATAGGAACCACACACGCAGCAGGAGGTTTGAGCTCTGCTGGTGTTTTGTTGGGGAGGGAAAATTGCTTATGTACGATTGGCATTTTTTTTCCACATAGGAAGCATACGTGTCTCACCTGAAAGCAATTCTGCACTTCCCTTAGCTCTGACTTGAAACGGTTTCAGTGAAGTCAGTGAGATAATCTCTTATGATTAAAGGCAGGTATCCGAGCTAAATCTTTGCTGGACTTGAAATTTCTCCTTCACTTGTGCAGGAGAGAAACTGGAGGTGGCGCAGACATGCAGCACACCCTCTCAGCTACAGCAGGACACTTGTACATGAAGTACCAATCTGGCATCTATTGCAAATACCAGCATCACGTGAACGACAGGCTTGATTTCCCCACCATCTTCACTGACTAATCTCAACAAGACCTCAGGGAAGCAATGAAGTATTATAACCCTGCTCGCAACCGGCAGAGGGGCCTTAAGTTACAGAGAAAATAGTCAAGTGTTTAGAAGAGGCTCTTCCAGAGCCTCCTCTTCTTCTTCTCCTCCCCTGGCAATGGGGGTTGTATCTGTTTTCAGAACTACTTATTTCCATTAGCCGGTAACATCTGAAGATGGCAGGGAAATCTGTTACAGTCTCTCAGCTCGCATCGCTGTGGTTTCTGCAAACCCGGAGCTGCCAGCTTGTGGGGACAGCTCTGCACTACCTGCCTAGCCAGATGCTCTGGTTTTACGCAGCGACGGAGGTTTTTCAGGCTCCACCTGCAGCTGAGGATTTGGAGCAGAGACCGGCACCGCGGGGCACCGTGCTGGCGGCTGGCCGGGCACTTCTTCCTTACTCGTGCTGCTTCGCTGTCGCACTCCTTCTGGCACTTTCCTTTCCTTTACTGCTGGCAGTTAATCTTCCCGAGCACTTACTGTAGGAAAGCTTTGAGAGGAATCCTCTGCTTTGCTCGGAGGGTATGTCTTTCCAGAAAGCTCCTGGTTTCCATGTTAGAAGACTGCTGGGGAGAAGGGGCACATGCTTATTGCTCATATTCCTGTGTTCCTTCATTCCGCACGCTTGCACGGAGGTAACATTTTACTGCCAATTTTAGGGTCGGCTTGGCCTGGGCCTCAGCTGCATCATTCAAACATGTTAAAATCCAAAATGCATATGCGTTTAAAATGACAGTTGGGGCTTTAAAACTAAAATAGCTACAGATTTAACCCAAAGCTGGCATCCCTCTGTAAAGATCAGCAGTGTGTTTTATTAACTTCCAGGCTTCCTTCCGTAATGATTAAGTGCACCTTGTTCACAGCTAATACCTTTTTAGGCAGCATAAACAAATAGCTCTATTTGTAATCAATTCTAATTTATTCACACTTTAATTGAAATATCCCCTCCTTGCTACCACCCATAGCTGAGAAAACATGTTCGGCCCCATCTATCACGCAGGTGTAAACACTGCAACGCCGGGTGGGCAATTATCCGAAGGAGAAACGCTGCTCAGCCAAATGCTCTTACCATTTTAACTTCTTGATCCAACACATTGCTTCTATCTTTTGGCTGCTACCTTCCCCTACCCCCCCCCCCTTTTTTTTCTTCTGATGTGCCGACCTTGTCAATCAGCACGTGGATCAGAAGGCTGCTTGGGATTCCTGGTTCACCATTATCCCAAGGAGCCCGGGCAGGCTGCAGAGGCTCTGCAGTGACTAATCAGCCATGCCATACATTCCTTCTTACAGCTTAAGCATTTCCCTATGTCACTACACTTAAGAGATTATAAACTAGCCTGGGAAACATTTTCAGTACCACTTTCAATATAAACTATTTTTTTCCAAAGCCACGTCGTCATCACTATTGATTGAACAGAGCTCTAAAAAGATGTTAGCTGTTTAGACCAGCAGATATTTCCATCTACCCAGATGCAATGATTATCATACTTTATCCAGCTATATGTCACCTGTCACATAGGAATCACAAAGCAGTGTATATGTTTTCTTATCTAATCCTGTGAACACTGATACTGGATACCATCACCACTCCCGTTTCGTAGATGAAAAACCTGAGATACAGATGACTGGTGGCTTCACCAGCAACTAGACAGACCTTGGGAATGTTAACCCGTGTCCTCGCCTGCCTCCCTCCTCTCCAGTGATACAGCACTCACTGAAAACCAGCTGTATGTTATGGCTATTAAAATTCAGATGGAAACACAGGAGCAGAACCCAAACCAAATACAACGGGTTCAACCCAGCAGTACATATTTCAACAGCGCCACACATAATCCATCTTTTGGAAGATGCTGGAGCTCATTTTTGGCAGGGAGTATCAGCACATACTGCCGTAGATGTCAGATGGGAGTAGCGCTGTTTTTTTCTTTCCTTAGCCAAAAATTGCGATGGCATTTAACCAAC